CCAACCCATTGTCACCTAATCTGTGGTCAATCTTAGGCTCAACAACAGCAGTCATTTGTGGCGCCATCGATGCCGATGGTGTCGATGCCGTCGGCCCCGTATCCCACACTTTACCCGTCATCGCAACCGATGCCAAGTGATGCCAAATTGGGTCCAATATATCCGGAGCTCAACGATTGGATGGGACTTTCGCTTACATCCCAAGAAGTGGCTGTCATTCAGAACCAATCAAACGCTGTCTCTATTCCGCAAAGCAATACGGTTTCGTTGGCCAACGCATCGATGGTCGCACCCGTTTCGGGCACTTCTGTCGGCCTATTGAGAGCCAATGTCACGCATGGCATCCGAGAAGTGCACGTTTGCAAAGACAAGGACTCCAAAGTTGGTCTGAGAGTCAAAGACATAAACAAGGTTTGAATGATAGACTCCGACCAATGATAACACGAATGTTAACATAAATTGTGGTCATTTGTTGTATTTTAGGGCATATTCGTAGTGTTTGTTCAAAGCGGTTCTCCCGCAGCGATGGTTGGCCTCAGATTTGGCGATCAGATCCTGCAATTGAACGGCGAAAATGTGGCCGGATTTTCGACCGACAAAATTCACGACATAATCAAGAAGTCGGCCGTCAATGGCATACATCTGGTGGTGAGAGACCGACCGTTTGAACGAGTGATCACTCTTCATAAGGACAGTGTCGGTCACGTGGGCTTCACATTCAAAAACGGAAAGATCAACGCTATAGTGAAGGACTCGTCGGCCGCACGCAATGGTTTGCTTACAGAGCATAACTTCTTGGAGATCAATGGCCAGAATGTGGTCGGAGTCGATGACAAGTCAGTTCGTAGTCTTATGGAATCGGGTGGAAATGTGATCACTCTTACAATTATGCCATCGTTTATCTTCGACCATATGATGAAACAGTGAGTTCTTATCTCTTTAATTGATTTTCTCATTGTTTACGAAAACATTAATTTTAATACTGTTTATAATCTTACATAAGCTTTAAAAGCGTTTGATTTAAAATTAATGTATTAATGTATTTGCAACAGAATGGCCACCAGTTTAGTGAAGAGACTTATGGATCACTCGGTACCAGATGTGTGAACACGGAATTGCTTTGGATTTGGTCTTTGATTTTTACATATATTTATAACGATTTGATATTTAATAATCAATATTTAATTACGCGAATGGATTCGCATTTTAATTGATGGCTATTCTTATTATATGTTTAATTATTTG